TAGAGAGAGAGGTTGTCAGGTAGCATGTCATCACATATTTAAAGGTGGAGTAAAAATAAACACACAGGCACACAAACAAAACCTATACTTCTCAGACATCTGTCCAGACAGAGACTAACTAAAACATCACTTCCCCTTGCTTTAAATATATGTGCCTCAGGCTACACTTGATGCTCATGTACGGACTCCCCGCCCTACTCTTTCCTGCTGGCCTCAAAGCTGCTCTTTGGAATGGTCAAGAAAAAAATAATGTATTCTTCATGTATAGGTCTTTTAATGTGACTTTAATGTGATTATTGAACTTGAGTGAGGAAATACCTTATACAGTTTGTCTTGGGAGTAATAAGGAAGAGTTCTTTTAAAAACAGGAAAGTTTAGTTTTCTCCCTTAAGGTAAGGAGCGTTGGATAACTCACTTGTACCTAGATTCAAAGTTAGGTTTTTCTCCGCACCAGTGTTTCCTTAGTCAGTGCAAAGTTCCTGACCCTTAAATGAAACTCCAATAATTTATGCCGATATGCAGTTACATGACTGACTCATCTTGATTTTAAGACAAAAAAATGCATTCTTTTTCACATTGAATCAACTGAACTCTGGGGGGAAAAAAGTTCTATCAGTTCTAAGACAATCCTGAAAAGAGGTGACCCTACCTCCACGCTGCAATACAGCACTGCCTGGCTTAAAACCCAGAAAGGTATGACCGTACTTATCCAATCTGTATCCTGAGCAAATCACCAGAGCAGCTGGATTAGATGAAGAAGACTGTGGCATCAGGATTGGAGGAAGGCTCATCAACAACCTGCGGAATGCAGGTGCCATGACCTTGCTTGCTTTAAGTGATGAGAATTTGAAACGCGTGCTGATGAAGATCAAAGATTGCAGGCTTCACTTTGGGTTACAACTCAATGTAACTAAAACAAAACTCCTTACAACTGGAACAATAGGTAATATTAGGATAAAAAAAGAGACTATTGATGTTGTCAAGGAGTTAAATCTTCTTCAGGTCCACAATCAGTGCTGGAGGCAGCAGTCAAAAGATCGAGGAGCACATCGCACTGGGTAATGTGCTGCATAATACCTCTGTATAGTGTTGAAAATCAAGGACTTTACTTGGAGGACGAAAGTACGCTTGACCCAAGGCCAGATGTTTTCAATCCGCCTCTCTGCATGTGAAAGGTGGACATTAAATATGGAAGCCTGAAGGAGAAGCAATGCGTTTGTATTGTGGTGCTGGAGAAGAATCTTGGAGGTATCGTGGACTGCCAAAAGAATAAGCAAATCTGTCTTGACAGGAGTAAAACCAGAACATTCCTTAGAAGGAGCATACTGTAGACATGTTATTAGGCGAGGCCAGTCCCTGGACAAAGACAGCATGCTTGGTAAGGGAGAGGGGCAGTGAACAAGAGGAGTCTCAACAAGGACTGACACCGCGGCTGCAACAATGGGCTCAAATATCACAACCATGTGAGGACGGCGCAGGACGGGCTAGTGTTGCTAAGTGAATGATATGAAATGTCTTGGGATGATGGGTTAAGAGCAAGGGTAAAAGCTGTAAGAAAAATGTAATGTCGGGACTCACATCACATGTCTATACTAGTCAAGAAGGTCTACTTCAGAGCTACTTTTCATAAGCAGAAAGCAATGCCAGAAGCCTACATCAGATTTCCCCCAAATCCTAAACAGAACTGAGATTCTGTTTGACTGAAATGAGTTGGGCATCAACCACCAAATTACTGTGTTGAGCTGCGACTTGTAAACATGCTGGAGTTGCGAAGAGCACTTGTAACGGGTGTCATGGATTGAATTGTGTCCTTCTAAAATAGGTGTTAAGGGTCCTAACCCCTGTACTTGCGGCTGTAACTCCATTTAGGAACAGACTTTTCTTTATTAAGGTAATGGGTGTTATCAGTGTCGGGCGTGTTTTAAACCAATCACCTTCAAGATATAGAAAGGATAAACTAGACACAGAGACAAGCGAGCAGAAATAGGGGAAGACAAACGTCAGATCACACAAAGATTCCCACGGAACCAGGCACAAAAGGAACAAGGAAGAAGGAAGGTGGAGACTGGGAGGGAGAAAGGGAAGGAGAGACAGAATGAAAGAGAGAGAAAGAGAGAGTATCTACCTCTAGAACTAGCATCCAGAATTCATTTCAAGCCTTCCTAAATGTAAGAAATAAGTCCTGGTATTACTGTTGGGTAAGCATTGGGCAGCTAACTGCGAGGCTGGAGGTTCAAATTCTCTAGCTGCTCCATGGGAGAAAGATGAGGCTATATGCTCCAGTAAAGATTCTATAAATCAGAAGCCCTACATTGGGATGATAGGAATCAAAAGTAAACTGATAGCAACGGGCTCAGTTAAATGTCTCTTCATTGAGTAATGTCTGCAGGCATCTAACCAAACCAGGGCGGTGAAGGAAGGTGGCGGTAGTGGGAAAGAAGACTGGCATCTTGAAGACTCTCAGAGGCCCTGCCATGGAGTCTGGATTGCTATTGCAGTGGGGACCAAGGGCGAGGAGTCACCGGTGCTCCGTAGATAAAGAAAAGGTACCATATTCCTAAGCGTGAATCATATGGTGGCAGATACGTACGTCATGAGGGAAGAAGAGTTGAATGATTTCAGATGAAAATCGATGCCAGTTAAAATGAGGCAGTGGCAGAGAGAGAATGATTCCAGATACATAGGCAGTGGAATCACAAGATCAAACAAGAGAGTGACAAACAAGAGGATTTTTAGGCAACTAGGAGTGGAAAAGAAGAGAGAAGAGAAGGAGTTTATTTATTTTGTTTGTTTGTTTGGATGGTTTTTTGGAGGGGCAAGATCATCTCATTTGAATCTCAGGGCACTTTTTCAAATGCTGTGAAAGATGCAGATGAGATCATGCCCAGTTTATAAGAGAGTTTAACAGAGCCCTGAGAAGTGGCCAGATCACATATTTAACATAAAATAATTGAAATTAGACCTTGGGGCTCCCAGGTCCTGGCGCATGCTGGTTTGTGCCACCACTCAAGTGTCTTTCGTAGCCACAAACAGATATGACAATGAGGACACGTTCATCTGCACCAAAGCCGCAAAAGCCCAGAATGAAATCTGAATTTGTGATGTTAAGTTGGGAGCTTGTCCCCTTCCATGAAAAGTCTGTTTGACTTCCATGGGATTCTAAGAAAAAATCCATTATGATTAATTATAAAAGTGAGGAGAAATGATTGAAAGTTTGCTTTAAGCATGTTCTTTATCCTGTCCCTGTCTGTTATAAGAATAATCAAAGTATTTGTTTTTTTAACTTCCTAAGCATTTGCATTGGGATAAATCCAAATTCTCACATCAAGGTTTTAGCACCTACATCCAGGTGGGTAGTATGAGACCCCAAATCACAAGACCAGGTAAAAACTGATGTTAAAAAATATTAATCTGTAAATGGGGATTTAGTGAAACAGGAAATAAACAGTAGAGGATTATAAAAAAGAAGAAGAAAGAAATATCGATCCCCCTCTTTCATCTCATGTCCCACTACCCAGGTGCATGCCTTCTCAGTTTTTAGAGACAAAATACTAGTTGTGTGCTTTGTCTCAGAGCATTCAAATTTCAAAATACTGTCCTCTGCAAGACACAAATGCACACACAAGCTACTGAGTACACCCTAACAATGGCATCTCCCCAATGATAGCGGATGTTTTTTGTGGGGTTGTATGGCATACCAGACCCTGGGCCAAGCATTTTATGCATATCACCCCATTTAGTCTTTGTCATACGACTTAAGGGGAGTCCCTGGATGGTCCAAATGGTTAATGTACTCAGCTGACAACTCTAAGATTGGTGGTGCAAATCCACCTGGACACACCTTGGAAAGCCAGTGAAATGTCTATGAAGCACAGTTCTCTGCTTTAACACCCACGAGCTCACCATGAGCCAAATTGACTGTATGGCAACTGGTATATGACTTACGACTATTACTGTCCTGTTTGTACCTATAAAGAACTGGGTTTATATGAACAAGGTTACAAAGGTTTGTAAGTCAGGACAGGAATCCAGGTCTATCCAACTAGAATACATGCGCGCAACCTTTATTCTCCATGCTTCCCCAGAGACTGCATGCCCTTGGGACATAGCTAATGGCGCCTCAGGTTGCTATGGCTCACCCTCCTTTGAACTTGACAAACAAGTAATTAACTCGCTGTCTTAAATCAAGTGTAGTAACTCACACCAAAGATGGATTTCCATTCATGGCTTCAGACAATGCCAAACTGAGTTCATTTGTACGGCAGTTCCAATCTGCCACAGGAGAAATTTTACCTCCCTAGATAAAATGGGGCCTTAGCCCATGGACAAAGATGGACAGGGCTAGCCTTTTGCTCTACCAAGCCTGTGATTGGCCCAACCTTCTTTTTCAGGGCTTTCCTTTGTATTCAGTTGGTTTACTAAAAAGATGAATGTCACTTTTGGTCCTGGTACAGTTTGTTGTGGGGAATTAGCTCCCAAATCTCCACAAGTATATATGATATAAAGATCAGCTCTGTCCGCCAGACATAAAAAAAGTCTCAGTAAATCATAGAAAAACAGTCTTTGCCCGGCTGACATGCTCCACAGACAGAGGGATTCAATGCATTCCAGGAGAACACAGGGATGAGAGGTTTGGATGAGACTCTCAACCTTCTATTCTTAACCAGCTGAGCAACCGTAGGCAGGTAATTTTAGTGCTTCTCTGAGCCTCAATTTCTTGATTGATAAACACTGATACCTATGCCTCCTGTGGCAAATCTGGGAAGTTTATGATTCTGCATGAAAAATGTTTTACTATATCCCCAATACAACAAAGCTCTAAACAAGTGGCAATGCCTCCTCTCTAACATGAAGCATCACCATCACCTCCTAGAATACCGGGCAACTCGAAAAATGAAAGAGAAAGACCGCTGTCCAAACAGCCCCCCCACCCCCACCCACTCCTATGAGATAGTGCACCGGAGCCTGTATTTCTTAGGACCATGACTGGAGACACTGACCTGGGAGAGAGGGCATTCTTTGGCTAATGTGCTCTGGTTCATCTCTTTGAGCAGTTCCTTTAAGGCATTGCGAACAGTGGCATGGTTCCATTGCTCCGCAGGCAAGTCTTCTAATTTCGAACAGCTAAGAAACAGAGCAAGAATATGCAACATAAAAATCTCAATCAGGAAAAAAAAAACCCCACACAAACATATAAATAGTTCTGGGTCTAACTGCTGACTTTTGTGACTATCCCCCAACCAGGTCTGATAGTGAATGGATTCATTGGATGATGTAAGTTATGGCAAAACAAAAACAACAATAGTATACAATTTATGAAGGGTTCGTGAGGGTGGTAGGAGAAGGGAGGGAGGGAATAAAGAGGTGCTGACATCAAGGATTCCAAGAAAAAAGAAAATGGATTGTAAATGATGATGGCAACAATTGTGCAACTATGCCTAATCTAATGGAACTATGGATTATAATAATATCTGTAAGAGCTCCCAACAAAATGTAAAAAAAAAAGACATTTGACTCTATGGATCAGAACAAATTATAGATAACATTGTGAAGAATGGGAATTACAAAATACTTAATTATGCCCATACAGAAGGCACGTATGGCAGAAGGCAGTCATTCAAACAGAACAAGAGGATACTGTATGTTTTAAAATCATAAAAGGTGTGCTTCAAGGTTGTATCCTTTCCCCATGCTTATTCAACCTGTATGCTGAGCAAACTGAGAAGCTGGATTATATAAAGGAGAACTCAGCACCAGGAGTAGAGAGAGGCTTATTAAACACCTTCCATACGCATATGACCCAACTTTTCCTAGTGAAGGTGAAGAGGCCTGTGAGGAAAATGAAAGACTGCATCTTGTGATGGTACTTAGCATGTCTACCTGGAAGGGGCAGGCGGGATACACAAGCCAGAAGAGAGAACAACGGGATGACAGTTCCGGGGGAACGTGGAATAGGGGAGTGGGGGGAAAGGAAGTGGGTGTTAACAAATCTAGGGACAAGGGAACTACAAGTGATCCAAAATCAGTGACAAGGAGGGTGTGGGAGGTCTGGCAGGGCTGGATCAAGAGCTATGTAACCGAGAGGAATTCCTAAAACCCAAATGAAGGCTGAACATGATAGTGGGACATGGGGAAAGTGTAAAGAAATAGAGGAAAGAACTAGGAGTCAAAGGGTAGTCATAGAGATTTAAATACAGGCATATATAGATGTAAACATATTTACATACGATGAGAGGGAAATAGATCTATGTACATATATTTATAGGTTTAGTATTAAGAAAACAGATGGACGGTGGGCCCCTGCTCAAGTACTCTCTCAATACAAGAACAATTTGTCCTAACAATGCAGCAGTCTGAGATGCTCACCTTCTTGGCACAATCACTGAAGACAATGAGTGCACAAGCAAATGTGGTGAAGAAAGCTGATGGTACCTGGGTATCAAAAGATATAGCATCTGAAGTTTTAAAGGCCTGAAGATAAACAAGCAGTCATCTAGCTGAGAAACAACAAAACCCACATGGAAGAAGCACACCAGCCTGTCCTGACTCAATCGCTGAGGACCAAGTAGGTGCATAAGCAAATG